CTTGCGGGTTTCAAAGTATAAAGCTTCTTGAGTCATATATGGTGGGGAATCCACAACGATCTTCTCCCTTAGGCCAACTCTTAACCCAAAATGTGTTCAACACTCTCAACCCACCTCAAACTCTAGGATGAAGTTGAGCAATAGCTGTAGCAATAGGTGCAAACTGTAACTGATACCAATTCATTTTCCAGTTGTTCTGGTTTGGCAGCTACAAGCCATTGCCAGAAATCACCTCTCTGCACTCTTCTTTCTCTAGTGCTCCAGTGGGATGCCCTTTGTCCTGCTCACTGACTCTGTGTATCACCTTCTGCAATATTTTTGTTTGTTTTCAAAGGGTCCTGCACACAATAGCTATATCCTTCTTATCATTTTCTATTCTGTTTTTATTCTTGCCAAAAAGTATCTTAAAACTCGTGGGTCTGAGAAAGTTTTCACTGAATATGTCTATTTGCAATAACAAAAAACTGTATTGTCGGCTCTCCCTGGTGGCGGAGTGGGTTAAAGCACAGCACTGAGAATCTAAAGCCGCTTCCGCATGAGTTCGACTCCAGCCTGTCCCGGAGGTGACCACATGGCGTGGCAGACCTCTCCTGGCCCGCCCGCTGCTCCCCTCAGCAGTGTACTTCGTCGATCTGCCTGTTCTGCTCCCCACTCTGTCTCTGGTGAAGCCTCTCGCCGCCCCTGAGCCTCTGGCCTGTACCCCAGTTCTGTATGCACAAATAAATAAATCTTTAAAAAAAAAACAACCCAAAAAAAGCTGTATTGTCAAATAAGCCTCCTGCAAACCAGAACCCTTACCTAGCATCATACTTAGTTAATAATTTCAAGGATCCAATCAAAGGGTCAGGTGAAGCAAGGAGAAGACCAGGATGGTCAGTGCAGCACACCTAGAGCTCTCTGCCCACATTAGACACGCTTTCCATAGATTAGCAGGTAAGGTCTCTGATGCATGTAGTCTGACTTACACTGAAGGTAGTTGCCCCATTCATAAAATCTCTACTTCACATTCTGATAGTTACATACCTACATGATATATTCCATGGAGTCATGTCCTCAAATCCAAAGATTGCCGATTTGTTTATGAAACTAAGTATAGGAGCCAAGAATATCCTGCTAAAGGCAGTTTAAAGAGAATTCTTCCCTCCTAGAAAATATCATTAGATTTTTGTTTCATTTGTTTATTTTTGTCATCAAGTTTGTACCATATTAATAAGGAGATTATATAGATTCTTCCTTCTTTCTTTCTAAGGTGTTTATCCCAATTATTAGAAAAAAATGGGTTAGAGACCTATTATTTGTTTTTTTAAATTCTCATTAATTATAGGATTTTCTAATAAATGACATCTGTACCTTTGAGAATCAAGATTTTTTCATTGTGGAAGAAAAGAAACACAGATGGAGTACAGAATTATTACAGTCCTACTATAGTTCTGAATTTTATTTAAATATCATGAGATAAAAAGATATTAGATATATTCACACACACACACATAAATATGTATCATTTCCTACCAAAAGAAAACTGGGTTTCTTGAAGAAATGGGAAGTACTAGGTAGAAGGCAGAAAATATACAATGGCCTCACAATCTGGAAACTACAGACATGTCATCAATGATAGAATGGATAATTAAATTGTGGTATATATCTATAACAGGACACTACACTATAATGAGAAATAAATAAACTGCTTCATTCAATGATGTGGATGAATCTCATAAATATAATGTTGAAACAAAGAAATCAGACACAATAGATATTCATATACTCTATGATTCAATCATACAAAATTCAAAAAGAGGAAAAAACTGTCTACAGTTTTAACATCAGAGAGCTATTATCTTTGGGAGGGCAAGTGCCAGTTAGGATTATTAACATTGTTCTATATCTAAACTTGGGTGTAGATCATATACGTATGCTCACTTTGTGGAAATCCATCAAGTTGTACACTAAGAATTTGTGCACATTTTTATATTTATGTTTTACTTCAATTAAAGGTTACTGAAAAACAAATCAAACAACATCTACATTTATTGACATGGAAAAATCCCTGACACATTATTAAATAAAAAAGGCTAGTAACAATCAATGAATACACAGATACTATTCATGTAATATTTACAATACCATAAAACTAACATTACTTTTGCACACACAAATAAATACACTCAAAGTGATCAACAAAGATGATTAACTCTCTGACTGGTATCTTTGGGAAAGGGCTGCTTGGCAAAAAGGAGAGGATAGAAAACACATGGAATCTTTTTTTAACTTATAAAAACATGGAATCTTTCTTTACTTATGAAAACTTAATACTGTATGACAAGGATATATTATGCAATACTTATATAATCAAAAATTTTTTTTTCTAGAGGCAGAACTGTCCTTAAAACTAATGTACAAATTGCTCTTTTGTAAGTCTAATATCCAGAAACTACTTTAGATACCAAGCTGCTAATAAGAAAGTTTCATGCATTCACTTATAAGATATCCAGGTCATGTAACACAATTACTAGAAATATATTTTTAAATAATTAAAAAATGGCTAAACTATCTGAATAGACATTTTTCCAAAGAAAGTCAACAGTTACATGAAAAAAAAAATGCTCAATATACTAATCATCAGGGAAATGTAAATAAAAAATCACAATAAGATATCACTTCACACCTGTTATAATCGCTATTCTCAAAAAGACAAGAAATAACAAGCACTAGTGATGACATAAAGAAAAGGGAATCCTAGTCCAGTGTGTTGAAAGGTAAATTGGTATAGTCACTGTGGAAAATAAAAATTAAAAATGGAACTACCATATGAACCAGCAAATCCACTTCTGGGTATTTATCCAAAGAAAACCTAAACACTAATTTGAAAAGATACATGCATCCCCCATGTCCACTCCAACAATATTCATAATAGCTAACAATTCGGAAACAATCTTAAGTGTCCAATGGTAGATAAGTGAGTAAAGGAAATGGATACACACACACAAATGTGCATATATACCCAACACAGTCATAAAAAGAATAAAATCTTGCCACTAATGACAACATACAGAAATCATAAGGGCTTTATGCTCAGTGAAATAAGTCAAAGAGAGAAAGACAAATACTGTGTAATCCCCATTATATGTGGAATCTAAAACACAAACAAACTCATAGTTACAAAGAAAAGACTAATGGTTGCCAGATGCAGGGGTGGGGGATTGGTGAAATAGGTTGAGAAAGTCAAAAGGAATAAACTTCAAGTTATAAAATAACATGATATATAGCAGAGTGATTACAGTTAAAAATATTGTAGTGTATATTTGAAAGTTGCTGAAAGAACAGTCTTAACAATGTTTACCATGAGAAAAAAAATTTTGTGACTATGTATGTGTACAGATGTAAACTAGACTTATTGTGGTGATCAAGTCACAATATATTTAATTACAAATTATTATGTTGTAACCTGAAACTAATGTGTTGTATGTTAACTTCCTCAATAAAAACAAGTTTTCTATATAGAACTAGCTCTACCTAAGGTCATCCCATAGTCTAATTGGCCATTAAACTTTGCTGACTCCCTGTCTCCACAGAACTATCCTCTTGTACCATTTTTTTCTTGAAAACTTTTCTGAAAATGTTAAATGTGGAGGGGGAGCTTGGAAACTTCTATTTAATACTGTTCTTGAGAATAACTTCCATCTTTGTACATCTATAAGCTAATCATTAGGAACTATGTGTTGTATGTGTTAAAATCAGATACATATTTTGTTACTGAGGACTGATTAGCTCAGTTTTTCTATGGCTCTAACTTTCTAATGAGGTGGGTTGTCTCTGTGTTCTAATTCATTTATCTCTCTAATAGAGACAGAATGTGTACTACTGTCCAGTGAGATGTCATATGAGCTTCATTATAGAACTATGTAATCAAAAAATCCAACAGTGCTAATTGGAAAAAGTGAGAGTGTATGCTGTATCTAGATTCATACAGATATATCTACAGTGAGTTGCTGAGTATTTTTTTTTTCTCAACAAAACAAAACAAACAAAATCACCATCCCAAGCTTTCTCGCTTTCTCTGTTTAACAGCTAGTAAGGTCAACTGCAAGTTTTCTAAATAAGACTTTCCACGAAAGACAATACCTTGACGTAAACAAGAAGAGAGCTTAGTGTTTACCACGGAGAAGTATTATAGGCTTTTTCTTTCAATGCTGTTTAAAAATGTGAATTTGTCTGCAAAATCTTCCACAGCTTGAGACCTCGTTATTTCAGAGATCAGCAAGGTAAACACTCTCAAATGAGGTACATGATTTAAGCTTTGAGAACCCAGAGGCTCCAGGGCATTTACTGTAATAGGTTCATGAAATAAATATATTGGGCTCAACCCTGTGGTTTCTCAGAAAATGAATATAATTATAAAAATTCAAAATAACAAATTAAATGTGTTCATATGTAATATCCATATTTGAATCAGATTACCACCTGCCTGTTGTGTCTATGCTAACTGATCAAATGACATTCTCTCAAACATGGTTTTCTTATCACCCCCAACAAAAAACCACTACCCTGTTTATTCCATCTACCACAACAAAGCCACCATTCTATTTTAGCATTATTCAAAATGTTAATAAAATACAAGGAACATATCACTGGTTATGGAAATATAGATTTTAGGAAGCTTCAATAAAAATCCACCTACATTTCTTGTGTAGTATGAACGTGAATTGCAAATACTATAGAAAGAATTTAAAGGACTACATACAATACAATACTAACTTTAGAGAGGTCATACATATTTTTTTTTAAATAAGAAGCTTACTATTAATTACTTTGGTAAATAGCCACAATTCCTTTTAAATTTTTTTCTACTTCATATATAATGCTTACTCAATTTATTTAGTCTGTGGCTCCACATTTTTTATATTCTAAATCATTCCTCCTTTTCTTTTATAATTCCTTCTTAGTGAACTCAGATTATCTGTGTGGTAACATGTGGCTCCCTTCCAAGTCTGGCTACATACCCAAAGCTGCTACTTTGATGATGATTGCTTGAATGTTAGAAGATATCATTTCACGAAGCAAATCTTCCTGGTTTCTCTGCCAAAGGTAAGCTAAAGGCTGGAGATTAAGCCTTTTACACCTATAAAAGAAAAGGGAAAAAATCAGATATCTTAATGTTCTAAACTTGGATCCTTAGCAATTACTTTGACTTTAAACATAATGCTTCGCTCAAGGATTTTAGCATTTAAAATACTTAAAAAAACATGTTTTGCATAATGAAATTTATATATACAACATAAACATATTTCATTTCCACAGGCTATGCATAAACAGATAAAAATGAAATTTCTAAGCAGATTACAAATATTAATTTTAGTAAGACTCTAAGTTTAGAAATTGATGCAAAAAAGCTTCCAAATGTTAATGGATGATTATTCTTGTTTTTAGAACTTCCTTGGGTATCAAAATTGTGAAGCACATGCAAACTAGGCAAACTAATTTATCTTGACAAAATAGTCATGTCTTGACTATATTTATGATATCTATGGGTTTATGAACTATTCTTATCGACTATCTTCAAAATATATTTTTTAAGAACATGAGTGAAAATAAGAACAAAAAATACAATATTTGAACACCTAACATGTTGTAGGCACTGTATTACATATTTTATGTTATCATGCAGTAAAGGATATGGGTTTGCGAAGGATCAGACATATCTTTTAGCTGACTATATATCTGTGGCATGGCCAAGGGAAGGTATAGTAGAAAGAACACAAACAACTGTGGTGATAGAGTTGGGTGCTTTGTGGAAAAACTACAGTGACAAACCTGAGGGAGAAAATCATATGTCTGAAAATTAACAATGATGTAAAAAAAAGGTACTTCATTTAAAAATTTATTTAGAGAAAAAGAATATGGGTTTGGAAGTCAAGACAAATCTGAGTTTGAAAACTACTTCTGTACTCAACGAGCTATATGATTGGCAAGTCCACTAAGTTCTAGGTTTTTAGCTTCCTGAAGATAAAACATTTTTCTTTCAATATTTCAGTATTTCCTTGGCATGACTAAAAGAGTAGAAAGTAAAGTCATTCTTTATTTTCAATTTCCACTATGGAGTCAATCTTTGCACAATAATGATTTTTTTCTCACTAATAACACCGAAGTCTGAGTCTCCATTATCTTGCCTGTCAACATCCTCCTTCTCATCTTTCCCCACTTCCATTCTTACCTTTGAAAATCAGTTCTCAATACCCTAGTTATATGAGCTTCTTTTTTTTTTTTAAAGGTTTATTTATTTGTGCTTACAGAGCTGGGGTACAGGCCAGTGGTGCAGGGGTTGTGAGAGGATTCACCAGAGAAAGGATGGGGAGCAGAACAGGAGGGCTGATGAAGTACACTGCTGAGGGTGCAGTGGGCGAGACAGCAGAG